AAAAAGCATCCCCCACCGGCAGGAGCCAGACGCGCGCGCCGCAGGAGAGCCCCGGCAGTGTCGCTGTGCCTGCTGAAAGGGGCTCGTGCGCGCGGCTGAGGAGGCGGGCGGGGTGACTCGCCACCCAGGACGCCGCCCTGCCCGTTGGATACAGGCTGTCGGGCAGGATTTTGCCGGCAATAGCGGGTAGCATGTGTGTGGGTGTGGGTGGGGGCGCGCTGCTGTGTGCTTGTGGGTGGCGCCGCTCACTGTAAAGGAACACGTCGATGCCGCTGGCGCCCGCCATGATGGAGAGCGTCTCGGCAAAGCTGCGGCACCGGGACGCCTGCGGTGCGCGCAAACGCAGCGTGGCGGTTTGCGGGGCGCTCGGCGAGGGAGGTAACATTTGGCAGTGGGTGACCGGCACTGCGCGAGGGGTTGGGGATTGGCCGCAGCAGCGGCGGGGGCGCGGGGGCACGCAAGACCAGCGCATCCTGGTAATCGCGCAGGGCTCACGTGAGGCGAGTCGCTGGAGGGGTCGCCCGCGTGCTGCCCCGGCCGCAGGGGGATGCCGACGACGATGCCGCCTGCGCCGTGCGCGAGCGCGTCCGCGATCACCTCGCGGCACAGGGCCGCCGCGTTGTTGCGCTCGCCGCGCGCCACGCGCAGCGGCGCGCCGCGGCCGAGTTCGCCGGTGGCGAGGCCGGTCCAGACCGTTCCATAATCGACGCCCAGCGCGCGCTGGGGGATCGGCACGCGCGGCCGTGGTGCGCCTGCCGCTGGTCCTGCTGCTGCGGCAGCGGGGGCCGCCGCACTGGCGCTGCTGCTGGGTCGAGGCGCCTGCAGCTGCTGCTCGCTGTCGGCCGGTGGCGGCGGTGTCGGGGGCGTGAGCCACTCTGGCCTCTGCAAGCATCGCAGCGGGCAGCGGTGTGTGCTGACGGCGGCAAACGTGTGCAGCAGCCGCAGGGGTCGGGCCGCGCCAACAACGACGACACAACCGCATCCTTACTGTCATACACATTGATGAGCGTGCTTACCGCGAATTTCAGCCGCGGATCGAAACTTTGGGGGCTGGTCGCGCGTGTGAGCACCGCGTGACGCTGGCGCAATGACTGGCTGCCTGAATAAGCTTGTGTATGATGTGCCAACATCGCTTTGCTGCAGCACCACACAGATGTCGACGCACTGTGCAGAAATGGTCCCTCAATGGCAAGCAATCATGCGTAGGTGTACACACAACAAGTTTGAAGCATTGTAGGCGCGATGCAATTGCATAATGGTACACCAACACTCGAGGCGTGCGAGTTGGCAGGGGGGTCACTAGCTAGGGTGCCACTTGCGTTGACTGCCCCAGGACTGCCGCGCGAAGTTTTCACCATGGGGCAGCTTGTGCTTACAAGACGATCGAGTGCCGGTATCATGTATCATATTTTCACAGCAGCAAGCACGCCACCAGCGGCTATGCCTGTGCAGCCAAAGCCGCCGCTGCTGCTGTTGCTGCCGGTGGTGGTGGTGCTCTGCTGCTGCTGTTCCTTCTGCCGTCTCTGCTCCTCCTGGATGGGCCGCACTGTTATGCATTAGACACTGTGTTACAGAAAGGCACTTGCATTCACCAGACCAATAGACCTAATAAATAAAACGTGTAGAAGAAGGCCCCATGAGTGGGCACAAGAGGGCGGGTTTTGCGTGTGTGGACGGGTGCAGATGGGATCTGGGGCCGTGCTGTAAGCCAAACCGTGCTGCATGCACACCAAGTTCTTTAAGGCGCACCTTATGGAGGTGCAGGCACGTATGCCTGCACCTCCATATGGAAATTGTAAGGTCACCACGCTGCTGCAGCACCCCACTGTGCACCATGTGGTGTGTTTAAAACACAGCACCCTCTACAAAGCGGCAATATTGCTGCTTGCACGCCGACCCACAACGCAAGTATAGACATACCAGCGACGCAGCTGAAGTCGAGGCGGCATTGTTTCGCTCATGTTGAGGCCAAGTCGCCACCTCTTTGCCGCTGCAGTGGGCCCCAAATGCAGGAGTGCAGCGGCCACAGCGGCTAGGGGCGCAAGCGGGCATACGAAGGGTGTGCCACCTTAAATCAACGCTCCTTCCGCTACAAAAGTGCTGTAGCAGTGCCTTCGCACGGCTGAACGTCCTTGAACACCAGGGTAAGGTGGGCCGTGCGTTTGGGCGGCGTCGGGTGAAGCGCAGGGGAGCGTTCATTGCAGGGTTGGCGAGGGCTAGCTGTAGCGCGGGTCGGACGGGACGTCTGCCGGCGTGCCCGCGCTGGTGAGATGGAGTGGGCTAGTGAAGGCGCACTTCACACAGCTCGGACGTGCACCATGGCGCACGAACTCTGCATAGTGCGTGCGGGGCGGCGCAGTGATTCCTGCGCCTGTGCTAATGCATCGACACAGGTCACTACCCGGGGCGGTCGCCGGCAGTCGGGGTGCACGAGTTGGGCGCGACTGCAGAACTTCCGAGCGAAGGCACCCGCGAGGCTCGACAGCACAGATAGAGTCGGCAGGAGATCAGGGGTCAAGTGACTAAATGACGTGGATGTGGACAGTGTGTGAGGCGATGGCACTGCAGGGGCCAGGGCGCGGACGGCGCGGCACCGCTTCACAATGAAACTGCTCGAGCCGGAGTGCAAGTGCAGTCCTCGGCCTGTGCTAGTGGACGGCCAGAATCACGTGCGTCATGTGCGCCCCGCCCCATGCCCGCAGGCAGCGAGCATGAAGGCTGGGTGCGGCCGCACGGCGCATCACCGACAAGCAGCTCCCCACCCCTGGCGTCCAAAATGCACGAGGGAAAAAACGGGGCAGGAGGGAATGGAAACCGGAGATGGAAGTAAAGCCAAAGGGAGAGGTTCACTAGCGACCTCGGGGCTCATTTTGCTGCAAAGCACTGGACTTTCAGGCCCTGAGTACACGCCGCCACGGCTTCGATGGTCGCGGCGCGCCGCTCGCCCCGGGGGCGCGACCCCCGGCGTGCAGACGCTTTTGTGCTTCGCCTTGTTGCGTGCCGAGAAGTGTGGGGCGCAGAGGAAGGCCCTTGTATCTATAGCAACAAGTTCTACTCGTGGGCCAAAGTGGAGCGACCCTGCAAATTCCTGCCAGTTATCAACACACGTAATCGCAACCCCACATGCAGCAATCACCCAGCCGCCTCACGAAGAACGCCACCACCCCCTCCCCACGCCCAACTTCTTTGCGGCAGCATGTCCAGCAGTAACCCACAACGGGGCTTTCCCAAACCGAGCCTCGTCCCTTCTGGCGCCCCAGCGCCCCAGGCTACTGGGCCGCGGGCGCAACGGGCGCTTCGGCCCAAACCCAAGCTTTTTCTTGCAGTTCATAACTCATGCGTATGCGTGTAAGCTAGGGGTAGTGACGGTCCGCGCCACACTTCCTTCTGTGTGGGCGTCCAACCTAAGGGGGCAAGCCTTGGCCTGGCCACAAATGTGCATGATGAAGCTAAGCCCTGACACAACTTGTCAGATCAGTGCACTCCCAGATGGGTATAAGATCATATCACCAAGAAGTTGTCCAGGTCAGAAGCAATGACATCATCATGGAAGTCTAGGAAGTCTGCCGCGGCGCAGCCCGCGGCATCGTCGACAAGCAGGCAGCACGCCACTCCGGGCGCAGCGTCTAAGGCGGCCGCGGCCCCGCTGGCAGCCCGCGCCTCAGAGGCGCAGCGCGGCTCCGCAGGGTGCATTGGGCGCGGCGTCGTCGCCGGCTGAGGCTGCGGCGGCAGCGACGCTGCTAAGGCATGCAGATGGATGTCGGCCGTTTCGCCCTGCAGCTGGTCGCCAAAGGGCGCGCCGCCGCCGACCGCGCACGCAGGCAACGCGCCACTGCCGCACCACCTAGCAGCAGCCAGGGGCGCCTGCGCCTGCATGAACAGCGCAGCACCCACCCCAGCCGGGGGCCAGTGGTTGGCGTGCTGGGCGCCGGCCGTCGCTGTGCCT